TTACGTCCCTAGTGGTCTGCTCACTTTGATGCATTGCACCGCACGTTCCACACGCTCTTGTTTTCGAGTGTAAGTCCCTATTTGCCTCAACCTCCCATTTTGAGCGGCCAACGATTTCATCGCGGATAAGAACCTCAGCATCGATCGTTAACTCCGAAGTGTGTATATGCCTGAAGCTAGGTATGTGTCATAGCTTCCGGCACATGATCTTTTCTCTCTCCGTCTTTGTGCTCAGTGCTTTTAAGCGCCTTCCCACGATTCCGGTGCTCTGATGTGCGCAGTGTGCCGTCGAATATGAAATTTTACCTGCCGCTTGGTCGCCTGAAGAGTAGTAGCTGCACGTGCTCATCTTGGTCAGTTTGGGCATGATCGCCTGTGTGAAGCGTTGACCTTGCAGGCGCCATGTCTGCCGAGGTGGCCGCTCGATGACAGGCGGGTCTAAGTAATCCTTGTTTTTAACCTTACGATCACACGCAATCCGGATTCCAAGAAAAGGACTGGTGAACGGAATTTGCACATATCTTAAGCACTTTCCCGCGGCTAGGTAAACTGATGTAAATTTGGTTCGAGCGATCGTGTTTTGTGTTGCTCCTAACGTCATCATCTCAGCAGTAAGCAGCACAAGCCTTAATTGAGACGCGCTTTTCCATTTCCTGACTCGATGCAGGCCATCTCGCTTCCCTTTTGGTATTATTCTTCGCAGTGTCACAGGTACAAAACCAGGTCACCTATCATAGAAAATGCTCCGAGCCAAACCACAGCTTGCCATTACGTTACATAGATGTCGCTACCACCGGCCGAGTGCTATGGTTCTATCGTCCCGCGCAGTCACTGTTCGCCCGCCGGATGCGTTCGATTGGTCCCGTACGGCAGCGTCATGGCCAAGGCCATAGAACAGATCATGGCATTAGTTCTATGGCAACAAAGCTCCCACGGACAGGAGTGCAACGACGTCACTTATACGCGACATTACTCCTACTACAGCAAATTATGCAGACTTTATCTTCAAGCATTATAGCTTCTTCTGCAAAGACGCCACACAAAACATGAGAACTACACGACAAAATGTATGCTTCAAAAACTGATACGCGTCATTACGTCTGCTGCAAAGACTGATATAGTATTTACTCGTACGCGGCGTTAGTTTTGTTGCAATATCTCATGCACGACATGAATGTTATTCAACAAAACTTATTACTGTAAAAACTTTTACTCGTCTTTACTTATACAGAAAAGACAAGTAGTCTATAATTATGCAGATCACTTCTACTGCAACAACTCATATACAAAAAATTACTACTCGACAAAAGTTATACGGAAAAAAGCATATACCAGTCATCACCTCTGCAGCAAAAACTTTACCAAGGTCATTACTGTGGCACTAATGGTGCATATAAGTCTTCGCAGCAAAAGTAATGCCGTGTATAAACAATTGCTGTACACATTTTCAAAGTGGATGCCATGACGGGGGTAAAAGCTACCATATATATACATCAAAATAGTACTTTATACATTTTTAAGTACAATTTTGTCGTGTAGCACTACTGTTACGTACACGTCTTTACTGTTGAAGTAAACCCATGGATAAGTAATAATTATATGTAGTGCAGTAGAAAGTAATGACGAGTATACATTTTTGAAGCACCAAGTTTTGTCGTGTACCACTAATACCACGCATAACTTTTTGCGGTGGAAATAATTTCCTGCATAACTAATGACTGTATAAGTGTTTGCGGTAGAAGTAATAATGAGCATAAGTTTTGCGGCATGTCTTTTGTCGCGTAGCACTAATGCTCTGTATCAGTATTGGCAGTACAAATAATGGCGTAGCACTCAGTGTCTGCAGAGCTTTTTTGTTACAGCACTGGTGTGGTGTAAACCCGTATGTTATAAGATCCACATGGCGTCATGAAATTTGGCGCCGTCTAGCTTGTTTTGGCTTTTTGATGAAAGCCGAACGGCATACATTTTAAAGGATTTCACGCAGAATTTACGTGTGCCGCGCAGAAACCTTTGAGGATGCTGGGTCGCTCTGAGACAACTGTGATACAGAAGCTTCAAATGATGAGATGCGAAAAAAACGGACTGTGGTATGAAGCGTGATAAGAACGCATCGTGGAAGCCAATGATTCAGTATTTCAACTTATGGCCGTGTTTGATCCGTCATCAGCATGTTGTCAGCAACAATCACAACCCGGTATTCGCCCCACATCACATCACGTTATCACAAGGTCACGAGGTATGTGACGTCACGCACCAGCTGACGATAATGCCAAGACATTTTGTCAGCCGGTCAGCATGGAGAGAAAAGCTGCGACCAAATTAAGCAATCATTCTGAAAAAGAAGCGGGAGTTTAATTTTGGTAGCTCTTGCATTGTCGAGTACGTTAGGTGGGGTCGGGGCACTTCTCTAGTTTGGGGGAAGTGCCTCGTAAGAGAGATAAGGAGAGAACTGAACTGCCAAGAGTAGCCGTAAAAAGGTGAGTGACAGTGATCGATTGTGGTGTGTGATTGCGTTCCCCAGTAAATTAATAGCGTTATAAGAAGGCACTTATAACGAGAGGGGAAAATGAAATAAGTTGGAAATGGGGAAGAGGCACTCAACATACGGGTGGGATAGATGATTATAATACCGGAACAGAATCCACGCTTCCAAACATCACTTTACAGGCGGTGCGTCATGGTCGGCAGTATACCAGAGTTTATGTGTGGTCTGAAGTAAAAGGTTGAAGGGAGATGGAAAAGCAAAATTAACACAAACTTGCCCCTCACCCCATACATCGAACGCCTCGTCAGCACGCATGACGTCACGCATTCCAGCTGACAAACGTTGATGACGCCAGAACGAACGCAGCCCATGACATGCTTTAAAAACATACTCGAGCGTTTCTCTTGCAAACAACTAAACGGCATGAAATACGTTCTCCAAACGACGAGCATCCTTAGAATACTGCCGCGGGGTATACGCCAATGGAACGACACCGAAGACATACCAGCTGACATATGACGTATCACCTGATCTCACGTAAATTCTGTATCATCCTGCATTTATCGAAGGCCACCTGAGTCTCCGTGCTGCTAACTGGATGGAAACGCGGAGGTACATCCCCTGATGTCTGTTGGCGGCTCCAAAAAATGGCGTGTGTTGCTCGTGCGAGATCATGTCGAGGAAGCTCGCCTGATACATACCTCTGGCCAGATCAGGAGCCGACTGGAGTCAGTGCTAACGAAACGCACTCTATTTTACTGGAACCTGTGTCTACATAGGGACACTCCAGAAACTACAAAACACGCTCAGTCTCTGCCGAACCTTGCCAACCGAGACACACTCAGTCTCCCAAGCCCGCCATCCATCAAGACGCGCTACATCTCCGGAGCCCCTGTGTCCACCGCGACACGCTCCCTCTTCCCGGAGCTTCTGTCCACCGCGACACGCTCCGTCTGCGGAGCTCCTGTCCACCGCGACACGCTCCGTCTCCGGAGCCCCTGTCCACCGCGATACGCTCCGTCCCCGGAGCTCCTGTCCACCGCGACACGCTCCATCTCTTCAGAGCCGCTGTCCCGCCCGAGCCATGCTCCGTTGCCAATGTGGGCCAGCAGTGAAGGTCGCAGACCGAGCCGGATGTGTGCCGTCGCCGCCTGCTGAACCCCTTTCCGTCGGATGTCAAGGTGACGCGACAAAGAGGTACGACGCTGGCCGGTTGACCCGTGACGTCACAGGAGCCCAGTGGCCACCGGACGCGTCGTCTTTTCAGCGGGCGCTACGCTCCGTTGCCGGGCGGCGTTGCGAAAACGGCGACAACGGCCGGACGCGTCTGTGGTGTGGCTGCCCGGGGCGTCCGGTGCCGGGGTGGACGCCGAGGCGGCTGCAGTGGTGCTTGGCTGGCCGCCGCGGAAGGAGCGTCTTGTGGTAGTCTGTCCTGTGCTGCTGGTGGTGGGTGAGAGTGAGAGAGACGCGTGCTGACCACTCCGGCCACACGCCGCGTGGAAGCCGATCTGAACTGTGCTGTGCTTGGGCTGTACTTCGGAGTGAAGACTGCGTTGCAGTGCATTTGTGAGTGTTACTCCGATCAAAAATTTGGAAACGGGAGGCCGGCTTGAGATCTTGCTGAAAATAAGCATGGCAATGACAGCGGTAAAAGCATAGTCACGAATGAACATAGCTGAGGAGAAACATAGTTATGAGCCTTGATCGTCTTCATCACAGCGTTGATCCCTTGTCATCATATTCACAAACATAAACACAGTATAACCTAGACCATCATAGCAATGACGCGTTCAGGACGTGATAATCATACAAAGTTACGACTCGAAACGGAGAACCATATAAGTCAAACACCATCGAGGAATAGCTAATCTGAACACCACAGTCGACCTGCTCCCAAATACACATCCCGCAAAAGAGGAGCCACAATTGGTGGCATCGATGTCATCCGTCCACATAAGGCCAGGAAGTGTCCCCTGCGCACCGCATATGTCCCTCGGCCCGTCGCAGCCAGCAGCGAGACAGCCGACCTGCGCCGCGAAGACTGAGACCGGTCGTCCTCTGCCCTGCCGCAGACTGACTCTGACCGGTCGTCCTCTGTCCTACCGCATACTGACTTCCGACCGGTCATCCTCTGTCCTAGCACAGACTGACTCTGACCGGTCGTCCCCTGCCCTGCCGCAGACTGACTCTGACCGGTCGTACTCTGTCCCTACCGCATACTGACTCTGACCGGTCGTCCCTCTGTCCTGCCGCAGGACTGACTCTGACCGGTTCGTCCTCTGCCCTGCCGCAAGACTGACTCTGACCGGTCGTTCCTCTGTCCTACCGCATACTGACTCTGGCCGGTCGTCCTCTGCCCTGCCGCAGACTGACTTTGACCGGTCGTCCTCTGTCCTACTGCATACTGACTCTGACCGGTCGTCCTCTGCCCTGCCGCAAGACTGACTCTGACCGGTCGTCCCCTGCCCTGCCGCAGACTGACTCTGACCGGTCGTCCTCTGTCCTACCGCAGACTGACTCTGACCGGTCGTCCCCTGCCCTGCCGCAGACTGACTCTGACCGGTCGTTCTCTGTCCTACCGCATACTGACTCTGGCCGGTCGTCCTCTGTCCTACCGCATACTGACTGACCGGTCGTCCTCTGTCCTACCGCAGACTGACTCTGACCAGGTCGTCTCTGTCCTGCCGCAGACTGACTCTGACCAGTCGTCTCTGTCCTAACCGCAGGACTGACTCTGACCAGTCGTCTCTGTCCTGCCGCAGACTGACTCCGACCAGTCGTCTCTGTCCTACCGCAGACTGACTCTGACCAGTCGTCTCTGTCCTGCCGCAGACTGACGCTGCTGCTCGTAGCCGACGATGCGGTGGCGCTGGCGCTCC